GTAATCTGATATCCTTTTCCCTGGGAATTTAGATCACGAAAAAGATATATGGTTAGGTTTGTTTATTTAACGAAGCAGTTAAACCACAGCTCTCACGTTCTGCACCCCAAAGCACAGCTCCGAGTATCATATTCAAGGTAAGGTAGTGGTATGGGTTAGTCGACTGTTACCGAAATTTTTCGCGATTCTTTCGCTCTTAAATCTCTGGTTCAGAACTTGATCAAACTTTTGCTTTTTTAAGTGCATGGCGTTTAGCATTCGCTGCGAACGTCTGATGAACAAATGTCTTTGTCGAATCTTTAATATGAAGCACTTAAAGCTGTTAACCACACTTGTTTTACTTAACGGATAATAAGAAACGTTAGGAAATTATCCATCGATAAAGACGGAATTTTCTCAGATGTAATTGTCTTGCAATAATCCTAAAGAAAACTAATGCTTTTACACCTTAGTCTTTTGAAGACAACGTAATCCATAAGTCACGTACATATTTTGAACTTGATTGTTTTACGTGTATAAACAAGTGTAATGTTTCTTCCAAGTTAGTTAAACTTCCATGATATAGGGCTCTTCTAAATGACCTCAAATTGTCATTGGGTTTTGAAATTGGAAGAAATCTTAACCAAACAGTTGTTGATCATCATACAAGGGACATAACGAAAAGTTGGGTATTGCAGACGTTGGGTTCTAGAAGTGTTAGACGTTTATTTCCCATTGTTATGAAAACTGTTGCCCCTTACTGCTCCAATGCTCTCTTCAAAAGGGTAAACAGGAAACTTCCATGGGCTGTAATATAGCTTACGTAAGACCGTTTGTGCAGTTTACCTGTGCAACCTATTTTAGAAAATATCTTTAAAAAGGCTTAGTTAGTAATCAAGAATTGTTTAGCTTTGAGGGAACCTGGCAGAATGAAAATGAAATGAGCGCAAGTCAAAAGCGTGAAACGTCCGAGCCTTCCGGCCCAAGACACGAGGACAATTCCTGCAAGTTGTAGAATTTCCGCAAATCTGTCTTGGCACGCATCAATACAACTCATATTCGCAGTGGGGAACCGGCTAAAGCTAATGTTGTACCTTGCAGCGCATTTGTTTTTTTCTAAGCTGTTTTTTCTTTTTTTGTCATTATTATTTTTTAATGAGCCTCACGTTTAATTTACAGCCGTCGCGTCCGCGGTAAGATTTGAGATCAACGAACCCTGAGTCTAGGGCAGAATTCCTTGTCGATTGAAGGGTTGTTAGTATGCTCCTAGTTAATTCATTACATAACTACTAAGGTCTGTAGACAAAGCGTGTAAAAAGTTAAGACAATCACTTACGTAACAACAAATACCTAACGATTAGATTCACAGAGTTACCGTGAACAAATGTTTTAATCAATGAAAAATTTGATGAGTAATATATCTGACTTAATGCTCCAATTTAATTATGTAAAGATTTGCAAGAATTACTATCATTTAGACACATCGATCAAAAGAAGTGAGACATTTAAAAATATGTCATTTCATGTTAAACATTTTTGCATTTTAGGTTACCTAGCTTTTGGAAGCCAGATCGCAGTAATCGAGTTTACAGCATGTTGAAGTTAATTGTTGATAAATGTCTTCTTATCTTTGGTGTACCTTACATACACTTCGAGAAAGCAATCAGATTGCCGAACTTTTTCAATTATTCACAGCTCCCTTTAATGCAATAGGAAGGCCTTCTTGTGTCTAATGTACGAATGTTACTATCGAATTCAGAGCTGGTTAAATAGCTAGTAAAGCTTTCGTAAATGTGTGCTTTTTTTGTGTGTTTTGCACGAAAGGACTCAACACGCTAGATATCGAATGTTGAAATACGTTCGTTGACTGTGGAGGCACGAACGCTGTGACTCCCTCCTGATGACAGGGGAATAGTTTGACTCAAATATTTTTTGGCGCCGATCGGAGTCGTTATCTTTGTAATGAAAGATTCGATCGTAGACAAGGATGTGCCATAAACATGACCCAGTCATTTCCAAGGTCTCTGTCAGTTGATGTTTCTTGCTCAAGGTCGCTTTTTTAGACTGCAGAATGAGTTGTTTTTGTTCAACGTGTGAGGCAGTGAATTTTATTTAGCTCTCACTGCTCTGTTCACGTCATAAAGGAAATAAATCCGAAATAAAGGCAGGCCATTTTTATAGTTTGTCCTTCAGGAAGTACTCTTAGAAGAGGCGAGTGCTCTTGGTTAGAGGAATGTGTTTAACGAGTCAACTCCTGTGGAGTCGTCACCTAATTTCTGTCTTAAATAGTTACGCTTTCTGTGCTCTCTTTGAATCTAAAGAAGATTGAAGGATTATGACATTGTTTTGCCACAGAACGAACAATTTCAAGCCCTGGAAAGTCCTTCCAAGGTTAAGGTACTTGGAAGGTATTTTCCTTTGACCGGATATTGCGCACTCCTTTGTTGAGAAGAAAACTGGATGGAATTCAATGTCAGCATAAGCAAAAATCAACGAAAACAGAGAAAGTAACTTTGTATTTATTTTAACCAATGTTAAGAAAGGAATAGATAACGTATCTGGGGAGTTTTTTTTTTCGTAAATTGTCTCTGTTCTTTGCAAAAAGATGGCGGGATTCGAAACCTATAAGATTTATGTCGCTCGCTCTTGTCTGCGGTCTACCGCTATCCTTTTTGTTTTCAATTCACAAGAAAGTTAACTCGCCTCTATAAGGATTTACTCACATTCCATTCAAATCAGTCTGTAGACCGCATAATTATATGTTTCCAGGATCTCCGGAAATATCAGTAATGCGGGAAAAAAGCCAAAACGTGTTCTGATACGGGATGACAACGGAGACGTACTGTTTTCAGTCATCATTTGCCCCGAAGGTTGCGTCCCACAAAAGAAGCCAAGAGGTTACCTTTAGAACTTAAGACAAAGTCAGGACAAATTAACACGTTTAGTTACACACGATTAATACTGGAACTCGTAGGACGAAAAATTTCGAATTTAAAATTTGAAAACGGTGGTAAACAAAAACGAAACATGATGCAACCATCGATCAAACTGAAGAAAATGACGTTTCCTGATTTCGCGCTAATCAGTTTTTTCGGTCGTGGGAAATTTGCTAGAAGACTCTTTGCGCAATAGCCAAATTCTGATTTAGTCCTCAGATGAATCCGCAATTTCCCACGCCAAGGCCATCGATAAGAAGATCCAATTTACATCGTCTTAGAAACAAAGCCAAACTACTAGACTGTTCTTTTATTCTATCATCAATTAATTTATGAAAAAAATTTCAGTCGATACATCGCGATCGGAAATTGTCAATTAGTGCGAACCAGACTTGTAGGACTATGATAAAAATCCATATTTATTTAATAATTAAAATCTTTCGCTGCATTGGAAAAGAGAGAAAGGAAGCCTACATTTTCAGTCGACCACACATCAGCACACAAACTCGCTTGCTATGCTAAACAACTCGGCTGTTTTTTTTTTATAGGAGGATATTTTTTCCCCAGAAATCACTGTTCTTTTTTATTTTCTTGAGCCCATTCTTCAATTTAGGTGCTTGGGAATTTCTTTAAAACAGTCTTCCACGCTACCTTATTTATTTATTTTTTTTACTGGATAATCCCCATAGTTTGAAAATATCCGACAAACTGTTCCAGTTAACACGTACCGAGTTATTCCAAACAATGCAACTTTTTAGCTAAAATCATTGAGTCCATTTAACTTTGAGCGAAACCTCGTTTTACAAACTGGGTCGTTTTCAGGCTGAGAAAGCGGCAAAGAGGTTGTATTGATACAATCACTGAGTTAATTCGAAGTTATGGAATTCTAGTGAGGAAATATGTCCGATAAGATTCAAACTGAAAATTTCTATAAAGACATTTTAGCTATCGTACACTTTTGATATCCCCGGAAAAGTGGACGGTGGACACAGCGAAGCAATCAGTACAGAGAGTACAAAGAACAAATCTTTCCTAAATTCAAAAACATGCATCGGACGCCGTTTTCACAGTTCGTGACGAAATTCTACGCATTTAATTCGTCGAAAGATGTAGAATTGTATGGGCTTATAACCACATGAGTGTTTGTACAGTAGTCTTTATCCTTTAAACACACACAGTAACACTTCTCGGACTAAGCAGCCGAACTCGGCGTGTGGTATGGATGGGCGACATGAAATACTCTAGAGAACGCCACCGAAATCCTCAAATCCCTTTTTTAGGTATAAAGCACTCGAAAATCCGTTCAAGAATGTCATCTTTGTGGTTGTGAGTTTTTCCGCCTGCTGAAGAATTCAAGACGCAATGAATAACATTCCAAGAGAAAATTCCACCACTCTTTTATGTAAAAGGCAAACAGGAAAAAAAAGTTCATTGGATCAAACCTCCCACTCGACTTTGCGAATCTGTACTGGAAATGCGTTTTACGAGAACTTTCTTCTTGCTGGGCTGTATTGGTCCTGTTTTGCAGCCGGCAGTGCTTACATAATACTTGGAAGTTTCTACTCCTTGGATTAATTATTTCCGTTCAATTTAAATCATCCCGCAAACCACTAACAAAGTCATAGTTAGATTCCCAACAATTAAACGGATTTAAACGAATAGAGCGTATTGTTAGTGGGCTGTTTTGTAGGAAATTATCGCAAAAGTCGTCTCTGCTTAATGCCTAAAACGGATTTGAAAAGTTGTTGACCGGCAGACCTTTAAAAATTAGGGAAGTCGTTTCGCGAAGCACTTACGCTAAGGACACGGAATAGTTTGGAACGCAACTGAAGCCGAGAAGCTGCTGAGGGAGGTTTTTGTCTTGGAAAAAAAATACAACTGGCGTGCTTAATGGATTAACACGCTTGTGATGGTTCTAGTCTAAAGAATGTCGGCAGTTCAGTGGACTGAATAAACTGAGATGTTATAGTTCCAACTGGTTACAAAAACACCAGATATGGTCCTGCCCGTGATGCATCTGGGGCTTGCACATCTGTTTGCTATATTGTTACAAACGGCTTAAATGTACATCCAATTTCATTGCAGCAGCGGATGACTGAAGCCATACCGATAACCTCAAACGATCAACAACTGAACATTGCGGTCAGTAATTGCATTGAAAACAATCGAAAAAGATGTGAGGCTCGTCGAGTTGGTGTGGTGAACGAATGCTAAAGCTTTAAGGAATTTCATTTGTAGTACATCGCGAATACTTAAGTGGCACTCACTGGAGGCAATCTGGCAGACTAAAATTCCACTGAGACTCGCTCTCACTTTCCCACACAGGTTGGAGATCCAAAGACTTCTTCGGCAGCATGCGTTCATTTTCTGTTCAAGTACTTGTGATCCTGACAACGTTTGGAGGACTTTGTTCAGGTGAGGTTAAACGCATTTCATTGACTTCTAATTGAAGTGGAATCACTTCGTTTATTTCTTTGCGCAACATCTCTCTTAAAATGATCTCGAGCATTTCTTGACAGTTGAGCAACAGCAATGTTTTCTAATAGAAAAATTGCGATAAATGTTTCAGTAAGTGTTTAAGCTTCGTTGGAGCTAACAAGGGAATCTTAGTGGTCTTTATACAATTGTTTGACGCATACATAATGACGTGCACAAGACAGTGATAAGTACATACTTACAAAAGAGCAGACAAGGCAGGTATCTGATCACCTTTGATTTCTAAGAGGATCTTTCGTTTATCAAAGAAAGGTTCGTGATGCTAAAAATCCCACGAGAGCTATACGAACCGCCAAACGCTCATTTGCAACGATTCCTAGCGCCTAAACAACATTGTGAAGATAATGCAATTTTACATTCCAAAAAAGACAATGTCGTAACGTCACCACTGCCGTCCTTTGTCTGGACTGAAAGACCGAGAAACAGTGTTGATTTTTTTTCTTGTATGCAGGACTTATAAAAACATCGTGCTTTTGAAGAATTAACTAGATTCGCACAGAGGAGATTGTTTTTATCATTAAGGCGCAGTTTCAGCGGCGAATTTTCCTGAAATGACATAAGGGCCCCCAAGAGTTTATCCCCTTTTTTTCTTAGATAGACCAGGCAAAGCCTAATTTTTGTGACGACGACTGGACGATAAAATCAACAGACAAGACTCCCCGGCTCTGAAATTGTTTAAATTCACCGATTGCTGATTTTATAAGCTATCCTGTGTTATTAAAATAAGAGTGTTTTACCACTCAGGTGCGCAGTATGTGTCATGACCCTTCCTCCTGAAAAACAAACGTAAAGAAGATAGCCGTGTTTCCAACCACTGCACGGAATTTTTCCCAGAGACACTATCCTTCAGCTCTTATAATCAGCTTAGCCAGAAAGTAATCGATATCACACAGGTCCCGTGGTGGAGCCGGTTGATAACTCGCGCCTTTGGAATGGCGTGGTATAAAGCTAGAGAGAATCGTACTTTGTATTTCTAATTTGAAGTAAAACAAACAATTTTGACATTAAACCGAGACATTAAAAGGCTCACGCCCCTACTTCGTTAGTGCATTTAGTACGTTGTTCGTCTTGATCACTGAAATCTTTAAAAAAAAAAATAAAGCAACTTTTTTGTTTTCGTGCGGGTGTACGCGTTGGAAAACAACTGAATATTGAAGATTGACAAATATTGGCGAAAGTGACATTCCTCAACATTTAGTTCGTTTAGCTGCCTCACGGGTCGAGACAGAAACATTCTGTACCAATCATTGCAAGATACTTCACTATCATTACCTCTTACTTTGTGTTGGCATTTTCCATCTTTCCGGCGTTTGACAGGAAAACCCAGTACATGTTGTGATGCTTAATTGTCAATCGTTTGATTGCAGTTTTGCGTGGGCTCTGCGCATGAAAATTGATGTGTTAATTTCAAGTTTTGAAGCAAGAATGTCTAAGTCAGTCTCACTAGGAATTTACTCTGTCAGATTGTTTTCATCAAAGCTAAAAATAAGCTGCTGATGTATTTTTAAGTTAAACTGAATGAATATCTCTCGGGTGACGACTTTTCGAAAATTCTGCCAAACTAAGCCACTGTCATCTCCTTCTTTTTTTTTTTTTTTTTGTTGACACAACTTGAATCGCTGCTGAAGGTGATGCAAATGAAATGTCCGAATTGACGTTAATCTTATTTAAGTCATGTTTTGGCTTCTGCAAATGTATTGAACAGGCCAAACAGAGGTTGTTTTAATCAATCATATCAATTGTTGCTAAAATTTTAATCGTCAATCTCGGTCCAGGCGTAGGGCAGATTTGGAAACACACCTTCACTATTCGGAATCACAGTAAAAGATGACCCACTTCTAATCAATTTGTTGATGTTTCACTTTGCAGTGATAGCCAAGAGTGTATCACAACGAACAAGCTCAAAAGGTGAACAAAACATTTATCATTTTAACGAATATTCAGTTATCTTCTTCTCCTTTCTGAGGGGACGCCATTTAAACATTGGGTAAAAATTAAGTTGTTGGTTTTTTTAGTATTATATTGCTAATTTTGTTTTCATCATCAGATGAAGCAAGCTGTGATTTCGAGGGGAACACCCACCCAGCCGACACCACGTTTGTCACGGCCGATTGTTCTGCGCAGTGCTACTGTACGGTAGATGGAGATTTAAGCTGTCTGCCTATTTGCCCTACTCCTGCACCTACTCAATGCCCCCCCGGAAGTGTCCTGAGAGAGGAAGAATACTCAGCTGTTTCAGGAGGTGGCCGTTGTACTTGTAAGAGAAGATTCTGCGCCCTTGAAAAAGGTAATGCCAGTTTCATAGCGGGCGGACGCCTGCGTATGCATGTGAGTGTTGGTTTCAAGAGCTCGCGGGAATGGCAATCCTGTTACCAGCTTTTCACGACGCGAAATCTTTTAATGCACTTCCTGAGTACAAAGCAAGTTGTTTTTCGAGACGACGATTCATCGTGAAATCAACTTTTTTCATTTTCTCACGCTTACGTTTGTTTTGATCTACTTGCACAACTTATGATAACATGTGCTAGCGATAGTCTTGTACTCGTTCAAAAACTCTCCCCTTTTATTTTTTTTTGTTTGCGTGTTTTTAATGTCCTGCGGTACTCTTTGTTATCAAGCTCACATTATGCGAGGCATAAATGAGTTTTTAATCTCTAAGAGCTATCGCTATATGATACAAAGTAAACTGTCGTAAAGGTGATAACGTTTCAGCGATAGTCTGGCATAGTAGCTCTTAGCAGAATCCAAACTTGGACACCGCCCTTTTTATCCACTTATGAGCTAAGTAGTCCGGGTCTTAACCAGGTTACAAAACTACAGTTACTGGCTTTGAGACAGAAGATACGTACAGTAATGCAGTCGGTTTTTTTTCGGATATTTTATCTCCAGTTTAATCCTCTTCAAAGTGTCCTTGACTTAAGAAGCCGCAAAGCGAGTGAGTGTGGTAATTCTATCGCCAATTAGAAAGCAGGAAATATTATTTTCGAGAGCCTTTTGGGAGCACGTTTTAAAATCAACGCTTCGCATCACATGAAAACAATAAGCTAGGTTAGGTATAATGTTTTCTCTCTCGTTCATTTATCTATGTATGGCCAAAACTTGTATATGAGATACATTTTTTAGGCGGAAAAGGCCGCCCAAGTTTTATTCCTTTCCTTTCGTTGATAATTACAACCAACAAACACGGATACATAAGTGCATTTATTGTAACACCGCAACCAGGTTAATTATGACCCGTCAGAAAAATCCTGCGTAAAGCCACAGACAACCGAAAACTACAACGAGTTTAAGGTTAAACTGTTTCGGGCATTTACTTAATCGAAAGATTTTATTCGTTTCCTCGCACCAAGAGGAGTGAGAGACAAACAAAAGTTCTGGTTCCCCACGAAGACTTTAACCTCAAGGCATCCCACCGCGCAATCCAAAGGTCTGAGGTATGATTGCACCTGATTGACTCAGTGTTTTTCTTTGTGCCACAATCGAGCAAAAACAATAAACATCGCTCTTCCTTCCGAGCAGAAGTTTCCATCTCTCCATTCTAAAAAATTTTGTTTTGATATGAGTCAATTCAGATCACATGAGATTATATTTCTCGATAGTAATTGGACAAAAATCATCATCTGGGATAGATCTGAGGTTAATTCCCAAAACCAAAGGGCAGGGAGAGAAATTTTGTGTCTCGAGTTAGCGTTACACCGAGAAATATCGATGAGAGATTATTGTTATGGAATCGTCAACCTATTTCTTGTTTTGCCAACCGATGAAATAATGTTGTTTTTAAAACCCTTGTTTTTCAAGGGCATCAAATCTCCCAGGCGACTGATTAACTAGTTTACGAATGATTGCCAGTTAAGGCAGATTATGTCTACAGTACAACATTAGTACGTTTAAGATTTGTCGGAAACAAATACATTTAAGCTGATGTCTATTGCTGCAAAACACATTACTCAATCTTATGTGCGTAATTTCCCATAGGTCATGGAATTAACTTGGTCATAAATCATTATTAGGACATTGAAAAACAATCAGAAACATGACTCTGGCGATTTCATGATATGCAGCCTCATTTCAGCGTTTAATAGGCAAGAGAGAAATTCTGTGATTTCCTCTACAGGTTTCGAACTATTGGAGTAAACATTTTTGAGAGTGGTGGGAAAGTAGAGTTTAAAATTTTTTGGCAATATTGCTTAACTTTTTTGAACTTGTAACCTCACCCACTGATATTTTTCGTGACTTTCTTGAGCATTTTGTTTTTCTCTCTTGTGCCTTCCCGTGATCGACTCCTGTAGCTGGACGCACGCAACGATTTGACCCTCATGGAAAAACAACGTAAAAAGGATTAACAGTGATTTAAGAAATGAGATTACAGAAGGTACTATTACGGTGCGCGTGTGTTTCGGACTTCACGCGATGGCGCTCATTGTTAGGTGGTGGTCTGATAATAAGAGTTGTGAGGGAACCGTAGAATGTTGCGATACCCAGAACATTAGGTCTCGCAATGCGAATGTGGCCGTGTTAATGGCGCTTGATCAGTAGAGTAGAACAAAAATTTGCGGTCTATTTTCCTCACATAGTGTTCTGTAATTCGTTCTTTCTTTTTTTTTTTTTTTTTTTTCTTTTCAATTCCTTTAAGAAAAAGTTTAGCTTGACAGAAAACGTCCTGATGCGCCTTGGGCATTCGTGTGAAATGGTAAACACGACTAAAAGATAAAAAGATTAACTGGCGGATCAATTGGATATAATGACCTGGCGTTTCGGTGACACCCTTTGTGGCCTCTGGATCACGCTCGCAAAACTGAGTTTTATTACGCAATTTAAAAGAGAATTGACAAGAAAAATTATATATTCTTAAACAAGAGAAATAATTAAGAAGAGTCTCTAAAACTGTTCGCTAAGTAGAAGTAAAGACTCCACATTTCTCTATCACGAAACCAAATAGCGAAGCACTTCAGAATCTTTATCGTATTTCTCACAAAAAAGGAAAAAAAATTATGATAATAATTAAGCCTTCCGTCGCACAAACTAAAAAAAACTAGCTAGCTTTATTAAAATACCTTACACCAAGCTGCATTCAGCAGGCTCCAAAAAGCTACGCTATGATTCAAATCATAGATCAGACATGGCGCCAAAGGATTTCAAACTCGAGCGGTAAATACACTTAGTTTGCTTGGCCTTGGTAATGACATAACAGTTTTGAGAATAAGATCTATTTAAAAAAAAACATGGATGCACGCCTGTTACTGCTTATCTTGTCAAGACTGAAGCCAATGTGCCTTACGCAACTACAATGGCATCGAAAGAAGCGGACAGTGTTTTGATAAATCCAATATACTTCCGTGTCTAAACGTTGGTTTCCGTACCCTCGAAAGGCGCGATCGCTGTTAAATAAAAAAAAATGCCCAAAAGCGTTTTTCGTTTCGTAGAGGAAATAATGAAACTTATTCTGTTTTCTTGATAAAGTAACTTTATGTTTTGTGTCTAAAGGATTCCGGGGTTGTTTTTTTTTACCTCCTTCCCGTCGTGAGGAAAACTAAAATGGTTAATCCAGCCCTCATCAATCATGTTTTCATACGCCTAAGCCTTGTTTTTGTTCTGAATGGCCGTTAAAGACACAGCCACTTTCCATTTAAAGCCGCCGAAGAAAACTTAGGGAGAGAGCTTAATCCTTGAGATTTTGAGGTTAGGCGTGGCTATGATTGAGTAGAGTCCAACTCGGTCTATAATCATACGAGTGATTAACAAAATCGGACGACCGCGAGGCTAGAGCCGATTTGTTAATTACGAGCATGATTTGTCCTCAAATCGAACCGGTGAGAATCAATCACGTCCGAGAATTGTTGCAGTTTTGATTGCCAGATGTTGCTATTTATCACTTTTCATATCTTTATGCAAGTTGGCGCAAAAAAGATATCTGTCAGTTCGAGTTTTGCTAATAACCTTTATTAATCAATTAATTCTTTGGCGCAAAATGGGGGTAATATAATAATGAAGCACACAGGAAATCCAAAGAGTGTTTGTTTGATCTATAGCGTGCATCGCATGATATGTCATAATCATATTTTCTATTTCCAGTTCTGTGTTTCAGAAAGGAAAATGGAGAAAAATACAAAGTTGGAGAGACATTTAGCTTGAATAACTGCTCTAAGACATGCAGATGTAATGAAAACGGTCAAATATCATGTGCGCCGACGTGCTCGAAAAATATCTGTCCCAAGGGAACACGGCCCAAAAGGAACGGTGAAATACAACTTGAAAATAACTGTTCGTGCGCCATACAGGAATGTGTCCCAGGTGACTCTATTTTATATGCTAGGGGGGGGTTTCTACAGTCCAATGGTTTACATGTGGCCCCTAGAGCGGGTGGCGAGAAAACATAATGCCGCTATTCTTACAGTATGCTTGTACATCTCAGGTTATAAAAAACAGTCATGATAAAAACTAAGGGTTCTTAAAGGTAGAGCAAGTATACCAGAAATTTGGAATTGTGACTATTGAACCGTCATTGAAAATGTTGATTATTGACAGGCATCTAAAAGTCGGTCATTTTTTAACTGAAACAGGGGAGCAATAAAATCTACCATCCCTCCCCTCATGGCATGCTTGGTCAAAACACGTCACCCCTCCTCGCTTCCCAGAATTTCGCCAAGTTACCCTGACGCTTCGCTGGTATCAAGTACAAATAGACTGTGAGACTAATGTGTTTAGTTAAAGAAAACATTTAAATGATATGAACTGGTCCTAACTCCACATCTTTTAGGCTCAGTGGTTTAGCGTTTGTTTTTGTTGTCATCAGGTTGCCTGAGTCGTCATATAGTTTAGTTTTATATTTGTTATTCCGTGTACGTCAACTGTAGTATACTTGAATATCGATAAGTTTATAGCGTTCTTGTGGTGAGCCCGGCAGTTATCTTAGAAAAGAAATCTGACTATCCATGAATAACAATATGCTTTCTTTCAGTTCCCAAATCGTTCTGTTACGTCGATGGTCGACGATTTAGGCGCGGTCGCGTTTTCATTACGAAAGACTGCAAGCTCAAGTGCCGCTGCAAGAAGAACGGCAAAACGCGATGTACAAGGTTATGTAAGAAGAAACAAAATAAACAAGAGTGCGGCCCAGATGAAACATTGGAAAATATTAATGAATCGTCTGCTGGGGGAAGATGCTCATGTGAGACAAAGATCTGTATATCGACCTTGGGTAAGTTTGTGTGTCTAGTATTGTCTGCGTACGAATACTGAATTGCTCTACTTTTAAAGCTTATCCACCAATCTCTGAAACATTTGCGCTACGTCTGCTGTCAGATGGGACGCCATACCTTGCAGATAAAGGACCCGTCAAAATAAGTTCTGTTGTGTCGGCTCTTTAATATTCTAATGTAATATTCTAATGTTCCTTCCCACCTCCCCTCGTCCCCGCTCTTTGGCAGTTTATTGGCAATCACTTATTTTCCATAATTCCCCTTTTTACTATGCTAGCGACGACTGATCCTCCTCCATTCTCCCTGAAAACCATGCGACCCCCCCAAAAATCCCCCCCCCCCCCACTCCAGACGATAAAGGTCCCTCACTAGTAATGCATTCATTAAAAATTCCTCAACGGTGTAATGGTACCTATTCATACTCGGATTGGAGTGACGCACTGTATGCTCTAAATCTCAAAGAGATAAATTTGTTCTCTTTTAGCAAATGTCTGGGGAAATAAAGTGAGTCATCTTGAAAGCAGGAATACCAGAGGTGAGGCTTGCGACAACAAGGAAATTTACGGTAAAATTAAGGCGGAAAACACAATGTTTTGGTTTTTGGGAAAATTTTACCTTAGAAAATGTTCGTTATTGCTCGAAATACAGCTGGCTGATGAGTAGGGAATGGGTTTAACAGACTACTTACTCAGACCCTGCTGAATCACCATGGTCACTCAGGGGGATAGGGGAGGAGGTTTAGGATTTTGGGGGGATCACGTGGATTTCATTGGGATCTGTCGTCACTAACGGAGTATAAAGGGGGGGGGGGGACCATACAAGATTAATTGTTAATTAACATCGTCAACTACCCTCATCTCACCCCTCCTCAGGAGACAAACAATAAGCAGTCCCTTCAAAAATTCAAAGCCGATGAAATTTCTTCTAATTCCAAGGTTTGTTTGTTTTAATTTCAGATGCATAGTGCCAGCATCATACACATTGCATTGACTCGATCAAGGACAAGTGCAATACTATCAATTAAGGACCCTGCAGCGAAGCCAAATTCATTATTTCATGACACTTTTTTCATATGGTATCATACGTACGCCTCTACCCGATATTGGCACCCAAATAAGCAAAGCAAGATTTCCTGATATTCCAAAACATTCATATAATCAACTTTAACGACTATGTCTCTGGTGTGACACCTGGTTTATTTACTAAGAGCGTAGGCTAATATGGAGAAAAAATGGAAACGATTTTTCCTCAGTTAGAAATAAATTAAGCTTGGTCTTATGCCGGGATATCGAAAGAAAAGGCAATCACTAGCTATAAGGATAGGAAAGAAATTTTTAGAGTGGCAACAAGTTAGTTTAAAAAAAGGATCAAACTCTTTGGAAAACAGTGAGCGTTTACGGGCTCATTAGACAGATATTCTCATTTTTGCATTGTAGTGTATAATTTAGGAGTCATGATCATATCATCGTTTTCATGATTGAGTAGACGAACGAATTATACGTGATTAGTCTTTTTACGTAACCAAATTAACTAAAAAGTGTCTCTGTGATAGTTGTCACAAGGATAAATCAAAGAAAGTAAAACTGAGGCTTCAAATGGAGAGAAATATTCCTTGGGGTGTGGCGTGCACTTTACCCCACTTAAAGAAATAGTCTTTGGTGCATAAAGCACCCTTCGCTCAAAAAGGTGTGATTTCAATTTTACGAAAGCTGATTAACGTAAAATCTTCGCATATCTTAGGTAACAGTAAGCCGTTTTAGCCGTTTTAGTAACCTAATGACCTCCTTCAGGCAATCTATCTATCTATCCCGTCGATAGATGTTCCCTTTGAGGGAGAAATCATACGAGTTTACTTAGTTTCTTTGGGATCGAAGTATCTCCGCGTTAGTATCCGACCAAAATGAGTAAGCATCCCCAGATGTCGGTCCCGTGTACGGAGGCATCAATGAAGTACCTTTGAAGTGTTTGGAGCTTCACTGATAAAAGCGTTAACTGTAACTTTTTTTTTTAAATTATTCACTTCTACAAATTTCACTGCTATGCATTATTAGGCGCGAAATACACAGAGAGAAGGAAAAACTGAAGCACTTTCATCTGTTATGTGGACAAAATGTTGATGAACAAACGTTTTTCAACTCTTCAATTTAGAACGCTTAAACTTATTAATACGTTACATAACTTAAAGGTGACTGACTGGGTGTCTAGAAAAGACATGCATCAATACTAACATGTACTGTCGTCTAGACTTTGAAACAATATAGGTAAAACTGCTGCAAAGTAGCGCAAGTGGTTGGAATATACTGTTATTATAACTTAAATAAAGGTTCTGATACTCGAGTTTTACATAATTAATTATTGTGAGAATTATTAATTCCTTGAGGCAACAGGAATTTGTGGAAATTTTGTCTAACTAGTAATAGCAGATAAAAAAATGCAACCCCGTGATGTTCAGTTATAACGTACCAAATAGGCCACGCAGTAACTAAATTAACTTCCTTCCGTCGAAAAATTAATTTTTGTCTCTGAGGAGTTTTCGTTTCTGCGTTTCCAAGAAGACTCCTTTTTTTTCTGACTTCTCGAGTCTGAAACTTTCAAGAGGAAATCTGTGAGACGTGAAGCGACAAAACAAGGTTTGTTATAACCCTGTGACGTGAGTGGTCACCAACTATGAGTCACATCAGGAAAAAGAAAACTTTCCAAGATATGTCTGTTGTCCCCTTCCTTTATTATTAAGGGATTAGACAATATCATACGCTCTAATCGTTTAGTAATCGTTCTTAACGAGAACTTTTTTTACCAACAGGGTTATTACTGAGTTTTTGGCTGCCTTGGTAACCGTGTGATGTAATTCGTTAGAATAGATTTTCAAAATTAAAGGTGATTCTATTTTGAAAATCATCGTCAAGTGTTAAGTCTGATTTGCAAATTTATTGTAACGTTACAACATCTCTGAACCTGAGACTTCAATTCCCGTTGCGACTGTTCAAAGTTCCGTCTGTGCTGACTCTGGCTTTTGTTGTTCAGTTTCGAAGAGATCAGTAAGATCAAAGATTAAAGAACAAAAGTTATCTTAATCGTACCACAATGCATACAAGAAACTCTCATTTGCGAGAATATTAATTGTACCACCAATTTTTATTTAAAAAAAAAAAAAAAAAGTTTAATTTTTTTGAAAACTCGACCCTGAAATCTTGGTGCGAACATTTATGCTTATGTATATCTGGAAAACTTTTATTTTCAAAAACCATTACTTTATGGACAGATGACGTCGTAGAAATTCATTCTAAAACAAAGCATGAAAATGGTTAAATATGCAAAAGCTCTGAAATATTAAAAACTGTCTGTGATAAGGGAAAAAAGCCCAAATTTTGAATTTAAAGAGAGGTTTGAAATAAAAACTGCCAGATTTTATTGGATGCTAATTTAAATTGATCTTGTTCTTATCAAACATTCTAACGAGCGAGCTACCGCGTTACTTAGATGCAAGATTCTTTCTGAGACCTTTTAAGATTCCCCTTGGATAATCATTTTACCAAACACATTGGAAAAGCTTACAGAGAAAACCTGTTCGGGACGGAAGGAAGGAAGGAACTCTTCACGCTGAAATTTACATTTGCAGGTAGGGAGTAAACGAAGACAAAAGTCATTTTGAAGAAAAAAGGGGACTTTTAAAGAGTGCAACGGAGCTTCGAGAAAATGCTGATTACATTTCTATTGTGTACAATGATGCTACTTTTCTAGCAACCGTTTTTTACATGTCTAAGCAGAAAATAGAAAAAATCTTTAGTACTCCTTGAGTTGGCAATAGGCACAGTTATCATTCTCATTATTAAATCAATTCAAAGACTTGTATTAGGAAGTTCGTAAAAGAGTTCCTGCTGCGACGGTTATTTACCGTGGTTGTTCCATTTCATCAATATTTTGTAGATATAAGAAGAAAAAGATACAGCTGGAAATGAAAACAGTCATGATACATGAAACAAAAAAATAGGGGTTCATATAGGGTTGTCTAATGAAAAATCTCTTTAAGATTTGGAGTTGTGACCATTGAACCATCAGAGAACCTATTGCTTATGGCCGGACATCTGGAAGTCGATCAATTTTTAATTTAAAAAAAAAGCCTCCTTCTTATTCTTCTTCTTTTTATTTTTATTTCCGGCGGTCAATTCGCCTTGATCAAAACGCACTCAACGTAATTTAAGAGCGATTTTTCATTTTATTCTGAGAGCTTCTGTAAAAGCGGGATATTGAATCTGCACTGCAGCCACTTCCCTGAGTTACCTTTTCCTGAGGCATTAATTTTCAGAAAACTGTCAGGGCGTGTAAGGTTTTTTTTAATTTTTCTCCTTTACAATGTCCATATGAATTGATGATAAACCTTTTTTCTTGCTTCCAAGTTCTCTCCCGGCTTGCTTGCTCAAACCCTCCCCTTAAACATGGCAACTTTAAAACACAGCTTGATAAATCACCTTCTAGAGAGTTTTCTTAGTAGTAATCAACCGTGTTTTTTTAAAGTTTTCTAAGGCAGTTGATATCTTTTTCATGATGTTTTACACATATTTGATACGGAGAAAATTTTTTTCTCAAATAAATCCTTTGTAATTATCCCTGTAATTACGCCAGAAGATTCTCATTGGCATATCTGAGGCCACGAGGAGCCCTATACAGATATTGCATTTACCAGTGCTACGATATGAGAAAATGTAGTCATATCACTGTCCCTAAATTGTTGTTTTGCACTGTTTTAGATTGCTTTGTATGCGAAATAAAAATAAAAAAAAAAACTTCTCCAATACCAGGCGTCTTCAAGCGCTCATCGTGAACCAATGTCATAAGATTTAGATTGATTTTTATCGGTTGAAATCTTGGTGAGGGAAAAAAAACCAATTCTTGATACGACTTGCTAGGGCGGGTTTGGTTTCATGGAAAAAAAGTTAAAATCATCTTCGCGAGAGTCAGAACTTAACAAGAAGCGAGATGAGTTAAAGCTATAGAAATCGAGATAACGACCTCTGTTGAGCAATTTTTTGGCATTATTATCCTAGGTCCAGTATCTGAAACACTCTCCGACAGAATTCCCCGATGAAGTCCTGGATCATTTTCTTGCTGCTGGCTTCGCTGGCCATATACAGTAATGGGCGCACACGGTTTCGCATGATCGAGTTTGATCAGGCAGGGGAAAAGAATATGATGTACAAGTCTTGCATAAGGCAATGTACAAAAGCATGTGGGCTGTCTGAGTCCTGTCGGAGAGAAACTGACAAGCAGGCGCTGTGCATGAATGGTGCAGGCGATGATAAGCTTAAGTGGGAAGGCTTTTTGTTTGATAATGAAATGATCAAAGCATGCGGTAAAATTATCGCACCGATGATCAGCCGGCGCGAACCGAATCCCGAGCCAAGACAGCATATGGATCCATACGAGCTTTTGCGGCTGATGGACATGTAATAATCTAAGTTTTTGCCGAGGGAAGACGTTATCATGTTCCTTTTTTAAGTAGAATTAGCGGGGAAAAGCTTGAGAACTTTTAACAGCTCAAGGGGAATTAGAAATTAATCGGAAACCTCTCATTTTGAAAAATAACGTCACTTCAATTTAGTCTTGCTTTTGTTATAAAATTGTTAAGGAATGGATTGGGCAAATTCCTTTGTTTACTTTAAGTTGTACTTATGTTAGACATACATGACCAACCTGGAGTCAAGAGCAGTGTTTTGTGGCTCCTAAAATTAAACTTAGGCCACATACTAAGACTTGGATTTCTTAGACTATCGTCAGTTCGACTTGATCATACATGATAGCTTCATGACAGTCATCCCGTCATAATCTCTCTATAAAAGCTCCATATTAGCCCTTTGCACCCTTAAATCAGTATGCATATTCTCCATACTGTTCTCTATACATTTCTTAAGGGTGATGACAAGGAGAATTTGTGTAACAATCAAGAGCTTTTTTATTCTGTGATCATTTCCTTTATTCTCATGACCTTAATGTTTGATTCAGGGGTGATATTGTAAGGAGAAATTAGATGCTAGTCACTCTTAGGGGATCAAAGAGTTAAGGTCAGAGAGGAAAAGATCAAGAACATATCCATCTTGAATGGACAGAGTAAAAAAACTTTGGTCACTTAGGTGGTCTTAGCTTTGGGTGCTCCCCACCCCTCCCTCCTCCCGTATACCTTTTCTCCCGTCCCTGAACTGGCAATCAATGTTTTATTATCATCTAATGAACGGACAAAAAAAAAAAAAACTCAAATGTTAAGGGCCGGTTATTGAAACAACGTTTAGCCGTTGTTTAACAAAACTGTGTTCTAAACTATCTTGAATTTAGCTGAAACTTTTATCTGAACTTTCCTCTTGGTGAAGAGTGTCAAGATCAAGGGGGCCAAAAGCTAGCAGTAGAAGTACATTTATTTATGAGATCAACCTTCTTATAGAGAATACCGTAAAAAGGCCCACTGCCTGCGTAAAACTACGGTTTGGGTAAACCTCGTGTAAATAACTGGCACTGAGAGTTTACATCATAATTTCAATAATCCAATACCCAAGACCTGAGGGAAGTAGATGAAACGAGCATAGCCTTGTAGAAAGAGATGTACGGTGAGCTGATCCCGAGAATAATTATGATTTCGAGAGAAGAAAGGGCGTGTGTCACATGAAAATCAGTTTCTTCAAATACTCATTTCTGAGCAAATGCAATGAGCTATTTTATTCCGTATCTAGTTTCTCTAATAGATTTAAACCAAGTTTAAAATGTTGACATCGAGTTCCTGTCGTAACACCAGGGCGATGGGACAAAATTTGTATCTGAAAGAAGATAAAACCAGTTTAGACAATTGCAATATATATGATTCAAATGATACAAATGTACATTTTTGACTAAATGACAGTTTTTAAAAATATTTATATCTTTTGTTGTTCGACCCGAAGGCAGGGAATATATTTCTTCCGGCGAAGAGCAAAATCATTGATCGTAGCCACCTGTTTTATTTGCAAGGCAAAATAGGAGTCTGAGAAAGGTTTTTAAGGCTATTTAAAGAAATTCAAATGTGCGTGCATGTCTTCACATGCATTGTTTAGCTGCTCTATTCCAAAAACTGACGTTGAAAAGCCGTTTTATTCTCTCACACACAATTTACTGGACCTTGCCACGTGCTGGTTGCCACACGTTTCTTCCTGCTCCCGGGGTGACTACTGTCACTCGAGGAGAAATACACTGTACTGTACTTACGGGCAAATGGTCTTTATTTTCCTATTATTTTCCAAAAAACTTCATATACCTGTGCGTCAAAGAAAATGGCGATGGAATCGTATTAGTCGGTGAAATATCTGAAGGCGGGAATATGGAAATGGACAAATGGCCATCAAAGGCTGCTCTCAACAATGATTCATAAAAATCCCAACATTGAGTAGACACACCTTATTCGACCGCTTGCTATGCGAGGATATTTTACGAGTTCCATTCTATTTTTTTCGAGTCCGTAATTGTGAAGGAATTACGAGAAATGAGCGAATGATCAATTTTCCGATCGTGTATCAAAGCCGCTATATCGGATTGATAAGTTTAGGGAAAGCCTGGTACAGAGAAACCAGTGAGGGGGAGAGCGGGGGAATGGTGGGGAGAGGGGAGGGGTAGTGGAGTCATTTTCCCCACCACTTACCTTATAATTGTACAGGCTAAGGTGAACTTTGTACGGCCCTAATGATTGTGCCCTAATTGCTTTGAATTGAACCTCCTTTGAACTTTTTCTGCGTTATCACGTATTTCTAACGACATGAACAACCATATTTGAACAATAATTCTAGCTCGTATTTCTTACCATGGACGTTTTGTTGGCTTCTTTATGCATATTATACATTTGCATTCCACGTCACCATGCTTAACTGTTTCCACGCCTATATCGAAACCTTTTGGTGGACAATGCCTCGAGCCACACACATCGAATTCGCAGTCTGTGAGGAAAACATAGTAAAAAAAGTTCATCTCCTAAAGGCCTTTTTTTTTTGAAAAGTAAATTTACTTCTCTATCGACAATGATATCACGGCTAAACTGACCAATCAGTTTACACGAACCGGACTTAATACACCTGACAGACTCTATGCTAGACTCTAATTTTGACTTCCGTTAAGGTTGTCGAGATATCAGTCACTACTACCGACAGCAGTCTTTCTCAGGACCACCCTTTTCTCGCCTAAACGATCAAATCACACGATCACATGTTCCCACCGGGTTCAATTTACTCTTCAATTTACCATTTACTCTATTTTTCGACTAAATACTGAGCAAACGAAGGCACGTAACCTTTTCCCAGTGCTTGTGGGACCTACACGTCCTAACTACAAATCTAGTAAATATAAATTTAAACTACAGATCTAGTAAATATAAATTTAGCTATACCTTAACAAAAGGGAGGTTTATGTCAATGATAGATAACATGTAAGCCAGAATTTCTCATTTCAAAACTTTCATTTCCATTTCATTAAACCTTGAGGTAAGGCTTTATCCAAATGAACAAGCAGAACTGGAAAATGTAATAGGCGTAGAACTTATGAATTTCAACTACGAAATTATTGATCAGGGACCGCCTTACCTATTTCTGCAATTATTGTTGTCAGACAGCAAAGGAAAGTGATGAAAATTATGTACGCCATATTCTTTTTCAAAAATATTTCGTCGACCTAGTTTCGAGAGGAAAGGAGAAGGAACAATAAAAAGTGAATGAAATTCAAATTAAAAAGACATTTCCAGGTCCATCGTGACAAATTAAAGAGAAAAATCATGGAAGGAGCCGACGAGGAATTTGGATGGAAACTCGATATGCTTCTTTGGCCTTCCATGGGGATCCTGGAGATTACCAATCTTCGCGATGACGATGGACGAACGTTCGAAACGTCAGCTTTAGAAAATCTTTGCGGTGGTAAATTTACATTATCGACTCAGTTGATGAAACCAAATTATCTTGTTTAGACAAATTATCTTGTTTAGACAACTCAGTGTTTACATAATGTTTACATATCACATGAAATGTGTCTCGGCAAACGTTTGTTTAAAACCTCAAGCCAAAAGTTTGAGACCATCACGGAAAGAGTTTGTGACCATCTCAGAAAAAGTAAGCGGTATACACATTGAAAAATTACATTAGCAATAAATGGTGAAATACAAGAAATTATCTTATATGTGCAAACTGGAATCAATATTTATAATATAGGAAAAAAATCTCAGAATACTGTACCTTTGACAATTTACAGAATAACTCCAGATCGTTCGTTCTTTCCCCGAATCTTCTGAAATATATTTGATCTAAATATGTATTCAGTACTACTATTTATACATAAACACTTTGGGAATAATTAATACCAATATCGTCCAAATCCCTTAACGACAAATTAAAGTACTGATGTCCCTTAGCGACATTGTAAAACTGATTCGTCTAAAAATAAAGAAATGCATAAACTTGGAGTAATATACGGAAATATTGATCCCAATATTTTGATACACGTGATCCGAAAATTTTAAAAGCATAATTTTTCTTCTAATTGAAAACCAAACATATTATGTTCAAAAACGTGTGAAGTGTTTTATCTTTTATAATTCATCATCGGTCATTTAGTTCTTGATTAAGAATAAAACTCACAATGATTATCTTTATGAATGATTTTCATTTTCTCAATTTCTATGGTTCAGCATAATTGGACGATCTCCTTTGAATAGCTCATTGAAGCTTGCCAAGATGTATTTCCATTACAAGTAATTAGCAGATACTATGAATAAGTAAATTATTACTAATGTTTTATAACGGACAAACCCGTCAAAAGAGGGGAGGAGCTTACTACAAATAGCTTCTGCAAGCCATGTTTATTAGCTTTTTAGCAGATCCTCAGTTGCTTGACTCATTTGTCGCGATGTTCTTGAACGCACGAAAACCGAACTGAGAAAGTTAATGGCTTGCGTTCGGAGTAAAAGGAGTTGCCATCTTTAAAACAAAAACTAATGGTAAGCTGAGGGTTGATTAGGAAGGTTGTAGGTACGTTTCTGCTTTCAAGCGGCCGAATACATACAAGATGGCTTCAGAAATCGTGCGTTTTCAAAAAAAAGAAGACGCTTAGTAACGCATGAGGGAGCATTTTCAATAAAATACAGAAGAGGCCGTAAAGTGTTTGCATCAAACCCACAGCAAAAGTTTCTTCAAACGAATATTTGGAGGCAACCTCCATATGCTACTTTTATTATCATCTGGTTCTACAATAATTCTAAACTCATTTTAAGTTACATCGCACTGTTGTCGAGCCACAAATGCGAGAGGTATGAAACATATGTCTGAAAGAAGAAAAAAACCAGACCGAAAATTAAAACACATTTTATGTCTTACTTAACATCTATATTAAGTCCTGACTAAAAATAATAATGATGTTAATGAAAAGCACATAAACACACACAGAAATTGTCTTTTTTTTTTTTGTCCTTTGTCTTAAACTTCTGTAAATGTGAAACCGTCATTCTTTTTTCCAATGAAGATTAAGATTAAGATTATTTATTGGAAAACTAGCGGCCTTTATTTTCCTGGTAGAGAGAGCGCAAAGGGAGCCTTCAGAAAGTGACTAATTAGGGGTAGCTGGTGAAAAATAAAATCATCCTCATTATACCTTGCTGAAGTTTTCTTACAGGCAAATGATCTTCATTTTCCCAGCTTATTCCATATCTTTTCATACCTATGCGTTAAAGAAATGGAATCGTATCAGGGTTTATGAAAGAGCCAGGGTAAAGCTGGGATGAGCACATGTTGCCATGATGCACTACTCTTTACCATGGTTCATGAAAATCAATATTGATTAGTATAGTTCACAATGAAAATATATCGCAACCCTGACATAAGCATCACATTGAGTTTCTCAAAAGATTTTTTGAGGCACAGCCTGATTTTGTTTCAGCAAAAGAAAGGTAAAAAAAACCCCGTTCTTTCTTCATTTGGGGAACATGTATCCTGATAACAAATTTCAGGAAAATATTCCATTGAAGAGCTAAGACATGTGTTAAGATCGTTGCATAGATCGCCATTTTGAACTATTTTGCAGGAGGAAGATCACAGTTTGGCTTAAAAATATTTCCAAACCTCCAAGCCAAGATTACATACAAGATTATCAAGATTTATAAGATTATCTTCAACTCAGATTTCTGTTCAACAAGTAATCCACGTTGTGACGAGCAGTTTTAGCAAGAAAATGAAAAACTTGGAGATTGTTCTTGGCATAGTTAGAACGCATTGATTGCCAACATTCGGAGCAGATGTAAAACCATGCAAATAATTGTGATATTTTCCTAGCAAGGTAGGCGATATGATCATTTCTTACAACCACGTGCACCTTCTTCGTAAAGGCTAAGGCGAACCTAAAGACAACTACTGAAGACAATTTCATCGAGTTAACTGACCCGGCTGATAGCGAAATTGCCATAGAAACGGCTCGGCTTAATTATATTTGCATTTGCATATATTCTTTTTTTTTCCGTTCTATTTATCTATTATAATATTATAGCGATTTAACCTAGTAACCTCATTTGGTGTAGCTTGGTTTTCTGTTTTTTTTTTCTTTTATAAGAATTATTCTTTCCATTTCGGTATTTCAATTTCTCATCTTAGTACTCTTATTATAGTAACTATCAAGTTTATATTTATTTCTCTTCCGCATTTTGTTACTGTACAATTTTTATTAATCTGCGTGAAACTACTGCTCGCCTCGACTAGCTGTTGCGATCTACGAGCAGCAGATGTCAAGCTGTAAATATACTAGTATCAATAAATTGAATTGAATTTAACTGAAGCTGTCAGCTTCAAATAGGTGCGAGACTCTTTTCTTTTATCATTCATTTCCAACAATATTAAAACAGTTTCTTACAAGAGATTATTGTTTTTTTACCATGAGGGAGGTGCAGTTGTTGGTTTCTTGACACATACGAGACATTTGCATACCAAGCCGCCTTCTTTTTTCGTTACTGTGGCTGTATCGTAATATTTTTGCGGACAGTGCGTCGAGCCGCACACATCAAGGTCACAGTCTGTGAGGTAAACACAAATCACTATTTTACTTCGTTGACTGTATAAAAGAGACTCAGTAACCTTTTCCTAGTTCATTTATAATTTGGTTTCACCGTATAAACTGAGGAGTTTTACGAGAGTTCCAGCCCTTAGAAAAGCCGTAACTGCGCACGTGTAAAATAGTGATAATTTCATCACATGTGTTTGATATCGCAAATCAGCTATTGACATGTTACTCGCCTTTCGCGCCACTCTGTTTATGCAAGGAATGGCAATGGAAAGTGTTCATCATTCTCAATGCAAAGTCGTTTATCGAACTTTCTCGTCGGTAAAGGCCTGTAGTGTTTGAAAAATAAACACTCCACACATGGTTGCTTTTATAGATATGGAATTTCTGCTCTCGTGCCTCACCCGTACGCTGCGGCGCTCATTTGAATAACATCAAATCGAACACTTGAAGAGAAATTCAATATCTACGCACCTCCATGTATTATTCTCCTTTTATCAAGGGAATTGATGATGCAGACATGTTTTAAACATAAAAAGCAGACGTGAAATTCCCACTTTGAAGCTTTTGCTTCGCTCTCATTTCAAGGACCTTCAAGAAATGATTCATGTGATTGAACAAACAGAACTTTAAAAAGTAACAAGTGTTGAAAGGACTTCGGCGAAGAGACTGTTTTCTTTCCTTACGAGAACCCAAACAATTTACTAGCATGCAATGAGAGATGGAAAAGTATTGAAGCTTTTCAAAAATCATTTGATTGGAAAAACTATTACAAACTTAAGTCAGTTCCAATGCTAGAGATTAGTCAATCATATATTCTTTCATTATGTGGTCAGCAAAATTTTCAACCGTGATACAAAACAATGCACCGTCAGGCTGGCAATTGCAACTTCTCCAAAATTGGACTGGAACAATTGAACAACCAAGATCGTTCACAAAGCCGACCACGAATGCTCGATACAAAAGGAATTTTAAATCAAGGGAACAGCCATCACAATGGCATTTTTTTGCGGCACGCAACATCTTACATAATTATTTTTTCTCTTAATGAACTACGAAAAAAAAGTTAAAAAAATTAAATTGAGACTTTTACCTAAAAGGGCACTTGCATTTTAGTCATGACTTTATAACAACAGCCTCATATACGATGGCTGATTTATGTAGTTTGTGAGCTGGTAAATGGAAAAGGTTTATTGATTGGAAAAACGCCTTACCTAACCCTGCTATTATTGTTGTTAAACAGCAAAGGAACGCAATGATAACAATAATCGCCATGTTCTCCTTTCAAAATACTTCGTTGACCTAAGCGAAAGAGAAGGAGACAGGAAACGATCAAGGGTGAATAAAATTTAAATCAAAAGAAGTTTACAGGTCTTAAGGGTGACAAAAAGAAACAAATTAGCGGTCGAGGACTTAGGACAAATACTCGAACCCTGATTCTCGGGCTAGGCACGTGGATCTTCATGGCAATATTGGTTATACAACGTGAATAGAAACACATCAAGCATCTTGAGCTCCATACCTCTAACAGAAA